CTATCATTAATCGGTGTTAGAGTCGATATTAACTAGTTCAGGATTTAAAGCTTAGCAAGCCAACTGTATACATATGTAAATAAACTAAATAAACTCCTTGTATAGTGATTATATGTCTCACTATTCCAACTGTTATAAAGAAGTAATTAGTACACAATTTGGGTTATAATCCTGTAGTTAGTGGTACGTACTGAAATCCATATGAAATCTATGATATTTAAAACTAAACTCTTTGAATTTCGGTCTTTCCATAATCACATTCCAAAAAGATTATCTCCCAGTTCTTCTTTTTAATATTTGACCAGTAGCCAATGGAGAGTAGTCTTCGTAGCATCATTGTGTAGTCAGTCGGTATTCAGTGCCTATTTTTATGAAGAATTCCAATACACATGTCAAACTTTTAAGCAAATTTCATTAAGAAATCGAATTTTTAACGTCTTTTTTACATTAGGTTCCGTCATAACTTTCATTACTTGTAAAGAATTTAATATTACATAATTTTCATAAAGTATATTGTAATTCTTTTCTATCCAAAGGCTTTTGTATTTTAAATTACATAATGTCCTAGGTATTTAGAGAACTTTCGCAAATCCAATGCATAATTCCAATAAATTCGTTCGTTCGTGCGTTCGTGCGTTCGTTTATTCAAATTAGAGCTACCTACCATTTTGTTTATTTCCGAATGTCAAATGAATGCATTCGCTATATCACAACACGACAGGGTGATTCAAACTCACTGTGATGTTTACATAAAAAGCTTAGGCGTGCAAATGTTATGTTAAGCGTGACGCTAATTTTTTTGTGACGACATAAACTCTACTCTCTCACCATTCAACTCTCTTTTCAACTTCACTTTCACTATTAATACAAAATGTATACATAATTACATTTAATATTAAATAAATAAATATTTTGTGAGTTAATGCCTGTGCTGTAGAGTGTAGCTAATGTGTTTCTTCGTGACGCTAAATATATGTTAAAAATACTAAACATGTACAATTAAGTAGAAAGTTATATATCATATTTATATTTATATATACATATATAATGCAGACATACTACTACAAAATAACCATACGAGTAAGCGCAAACAAATAACTAACATTTTGTAACTGTGAAAATAAGTTAGTTTCAAATTGCTCGGTTTATTTTTAAACAAATGACTACAAATCAGCCACGCTATGTACATGCATACAAAAAAAAATATTGCCAACGAAATACTATCTTTTTTTTGTAGCAAATTAACCCATATATAATGTTTAGTTTATTTTTCAGCGAGAAAGAAAACGAATAATCTGTATATTATTCGCAGAAAAAGGTTCAGTATAAATTGTTTGTATGAAATACTTAGTATGGCTACTATTAGTGAAACAGTTAGTTTTGAAATGGAATTTTATACATAAATTTAATAGTATTTTAGTTGCAGTTTTTCTATGATTTGCACATTTAGTTAAACTGAAATTATATTACAATAAACCACATAATAAAACACATAAAACATATATTTTTATACAAATGTTTTTTTCCATCCCACTTTTGCTCTACCCGAAACTGCTCTTACTCAGTTCTTTGTTAATAAAAAGCACAAAAAATTTGTTTTCCTGCAGTTACTTAATCCTTTTTTTTTTTGTAGTTTAGCTAGTTAGTAAAATGATAGTTAAGTTATACATAGTTGATATGAAATTTAATAATTTTCATTTATTTACTTTTAGTGCCACGTTGAATTTAACTTGTTGCTAAAACTTTAAAGTAATCAAATTTTCGTTTTGTTTTTATGTAGTTAGCAATTAAAAATATAATTATGCAGAAATAAAATTATGCTCTTATATTAAAAATTTTTTTTTTTTTTTTTTTTTTTTTTGTAAGAAAATATGGTAGCAATGCTTTGAGACAATTTTCACAAATCAAATTTTGTCGTTACGCAAGCGAAACAGGGTACATATAAAAAAATGTAAACAAACCTTGGAGATAAAAATACTTTATTTGTATATATTACTGTACTCTTTTGCTTGTAGCGCCATAAAAATATTACATATATACACTTTTTTTTTAATGAAAAGCTTTTTAGCCAAATATTTTGCAAAATTCCAAGCAGAATTTAAACTGAAATGAGCAAAAACTATTGTTTTGTCCACTATATTTATGCATAAAATTATTATAATGTAAATATACCACTTTATTTGCTACTTAAATAAATAAAACTTCACTAATTATTTTAACATTTCCTTCATCCATTTGCCGCTTGTCCTCAAAACGCAAACAATATATATACATATAAAAAATATATATAAAAAAATTCTCACACATGCATTGATTTGTATGCGCACATGATTAATGCTCGTGTATGACGACGTACCCTGTGCCGTAACGTAGGCGTTGTTCTATTCTCTTCGGCGGTTTATTTTGCGGAAGCTGGTGCCGAAATGTCCTTCTTCAAATCCATACCAGACGCATTTTGGTGGGCAGTGGTTACCATGACCACAGTGGGATATGGTGATATGAGGTATACATTTAAAAGCAAAATTACAATAACAATATTAGTTTATGTAAACTATGAAAATAAATATTTACAAAAATCAGGGACGGTTAGTGGAATAATATAGTACTATATACATTTGAAAAATATTGAAAACAATTAAAAAAATTTCAAGAAAATTTAATAAATTAACAGTCGCAAAAAAGAATTTTTTCAAGTATTAAAAAATAAAATAAAAAAGAAATAATAAATAATAAATTTACTTTCTTTTTTTAACTTGAAAATTATAGTATTTTTATGCGTGTGTAAATGTACATATCTAATTTAAATTTTTAGTTTTTTTTCTCATTTAATAATCTACGAAGTCTATTATGAACTGTCGTAAATAAATATATAAAATTCAAAAATTGTTTACACAGAATTTGGTTAGTCCAACTAACGAGTTTAAATTTTTTGGTAGTTATTTTAAATTTGTCTACGCCAAACCGTCCCCGATGATTACTGACAATATGCCATAATATTAATATAATTATCTGTACAAATGTCTGCATATCGTCATGCTACTTTGGTGTGAAGGATCTGTACTTTTACTGCAGCTATCGCTATTATTCGAGAATACCTAATTTCTTACGCTCTTATATATCTTTGTATTTTTTATTTATTCTTAATTAAATGTTTTGATTTCTAAACTGTGCAAACTAAAAAAAGATATAAATAAAAAATGCTATATATTATACTAAATGTCACCAATTCATTGTGATGCATCTGCATCACACTGTGGCTACCTTCAGTGTCGTTTCGTTGTACGCCAGTTATTCAATATAAATGTGACATTTTTGGTTAATTTTTGTTTGTGCGTATAAAATTGTAAAATATTGAATTTATTCTAACAAATTAATGTATGTGTTGAAGAGCTGAATTTAAATATTAATTGTATAAAGTAAAGGTGTGTGTGTGCGTGTTGTGTTTACAAATATTTTGTGCTAACAAATTGATTTAGTGCTGAAATGATTTTCTTAACAATTATTATTATTTAATCTTTTTATTTTTGTCACTTTCAGTTATTATCAAATAATTTGTGATATATTAAGCTATTTGTTATGTATATTCGGTTATTTAATTTTTTTTGTTTTTTTTTGTCAATTGCATGCATATTTGAGCCCAAGCAGAACATAATACAATTTCTTCGTATTAAAAATACAGATTCTTAAAATAAAGTTCAAATTTGCAACGTATCACCATATTTCATATGAGGTAGATAATTACAATATTTTTGAACAATCCTGCCATTAGATAATGTGTTAGTACTTCCCTGACTTCGGCTTGGCTAGCAACCCTATTTGATAAAAATAATAAAACGGAATCTAAAATTATTAAAAATATCAATAAACAGAAACCAAAAAATTAAGCTTCGGTATCAATAATTTTTTCTTCAAGCACATTTAATAAATATCGCGTAAACTTCTTAAACAATTTTATATCAATTAGACGCTACAATTTGTGGGTGGTATGTCCGAATGCACAAGCAAATCATACTATTTTCCGTCTGTTAGTTTTGAAACTTATCAGTTATCTTTAGTTCTCTCCTTTTTGCTTTTCCAAAAATCTTAAATATCATTTAAGCAAAAAACAAAAAAATCCTAAAATAATGTTTGATGATTTAAACACGCTACTTTCAAATAAATTCTGCTTGGGATACGTACTCATGGTATATATATTTGCTTTTTTTTTAATGCGGAGAAGCAAAACTATAAAAAATATTAAAATAAAATATTTGCTGTGCTGTTCAGTCTTATAAATTACAATTACGAAAATTTCTTCAATACCACATATAACAAGTTTCAATGAGCAAACCAACATTTACTGCAAAAATGTCAGTAATTTTAACGAAATTAAAAACTTAAAAAAGTAGCAAATAAAGTAAATCAATATTTACTGCAAAAAATTGCTAATTTTTTATCGATAAATATAAAATATTACAAATATTTAGTGCATTTTGTGATAAAGTACCCAACAATGAAGTAAACGTTTAAACATTTTCCAAAAAAATAATTAAAAAGTAAAATATCCTTACATTACTTACAAATTTCTACACCAAATACCCTCAGTGCTACTAACAGTACCAACATCACTACTAAGAAATATAGTAATAATAAATACTGCCACTACAGAACTACTACTACTTACTAATTCAGAATCCCTCATATAAGCCATACATTTTAACAAATTGATACAAAAACTTTTGTAAATCGCCCTGACCACCAAAGTCAATAGCCATCACCAAGAGTCCGTACATTAAATAGAAATCATCTCACAGTTAATCTCTCATCATATTCCTGCTTTTTCACCATCCTTTCCCTCTTTGTTTATTACCGTTCATTTTCATTCTATTTTCAATCGAAATCCTTTCAATATCCTACAAACTCATCCTTAATCCTAATTCCTTCAGAAAAAAGACGAAATCACAATTTTCTCTTTCAACAACAACCATAGCGAAGAAACCAATAGATTTGTTTGATTTTAGGCGTTGTACTCTTCTCATCGGCGGTTTATTTTGCGGAAGCTGGAAGCGAAAATTCCTTCTTCAAGTCCATACCCGATGCATTTTGGTGGGCTGTCGTTACCATGACAACCGTTGGATATGGTGACATGACGTATGCAAAATCTACTAATAATAATTATTTTCACTTACTACTTAACTAGTACTATATATTTTTTTTTTTTTAACTTTTCGCATAAGTTCATTTGCTGAGTATATATACATGAATATATAAGTTTTCGATTTTTAAATGGAAAATATTCATATTTTATTTAGCTTGCTTTAGAAATGAAACTTAGTAGCAAAGTGAAATTAAAAAAATTTCATTTATTTAAAATATTGTGTTTAAAATAAAATTTGCTCCAAAAAATTTCAATATTATTCCTTGTAATCTGTCTAATTAATTTTGTCGCTACGTTTCATTTCTTTGTGCGCCAATTCACCTAGATAAGCTTATAGTTTTGCATTACTTTTCCTTTGCAAATTCTAGAAAACGTTTGCAAATCGCTTATTGAAATATTACATTACAAAAAGCATTAACTTCAGTTGAATTTAGTGTTTTACACAAAAGAAATAGCAAACAAAAAACAAAAATGGTGCCGAAATTACTTTGCAATTTCAAAACAGTAGATTTGCATTCGAACTCATCTGCATAACAGTCACATCTTCTCCGAATTCACACCTACATACTGCATACATACAAGCAATCATGAATATTTGTCTATCAACAATTTGCATACAGTCGCATTTCTATTTTCATACAAAACATACAAACTCACGCATACATACATATATACTCACATCGCGCCTGCATTAACAGCCATTCAGCAAGCTCCCATTTTCATGTACATGCATCCATACAGTTCCAACTGACACTCACCCAATTGCATCAAAATCGTTTTCTAACTCACAATATTCGAAAAGCTTCCATGATTTCATTCAATTAAATTTTGCTATCCACCCACCCACCTTCGTTCTTCAAAGCGTTCTAAATTATTAACACACACACGCACCCATTCGCTCATATATGTCTACGCTGAAGCATTGATGAACAACAACAATAAATAAGCAGGCAGGTGTGCACAACAACAACACTGCACTTATTCATTTCGTTTTCTATTCTTCCGCATCATCACACCGCATTTTCCTTGGTTCGTTCGCTAACGCACACATACTGCCATAATTCCACTCACCTGTGGATTAAGCTGCGTTTACACTTGGTTTCAAGAATGCAAACTTTTTAAATTTGCTAAACTATATATTATAATTGTAGTATTATCCAATATAAATATTGAAGATGTCAAATTTAATATCAAAGAAATTAACTATAATGTGAATGCAATGTTATGAAGATATTTCAAAGAAAAACATGTTTTTTGATACTATTTCTTCATTTTTTTATGTACTGCAGAGTCTTACTATGCAAAAGCATATTTCTTTCATAACTTTTATAAATTTATACCATAGAAAATATCTGAAATTCATACGAAGACTTAAAGGCTCAACACCCTTTACCACGTTTGCCCAGTACAACTTACATATATCCCAAATAGTAGAAAAATAAAAAAGTGGCCATATTTTTTTTAATCAAAAAATTATTCGTAAGGATTCTAATTATAATTGATCTATATAAATTTAATTAATTCTTAGTCCTTATACCTAGAAATTGCGTAATATCCAAAATTCAATACAAAAAAGTTTTGACCCGTTCCCACTATGCCATTTTTAAAGCAATACAAATGATAGATTAATACCTGTTCAACTAAATTAGCTTTTGGTATGTACAGGTTATATCATACTTTTGTCTAAAAGACTCACTCAGGATTGTTATTGGAACAACATATCAGTTATCATAAAAAGTGGCTAGTCAAACTGAGCGTTTGACTAGTTTTTGACTTAAAGTCTTAATGTTTGACTTAGTGCCTCCACGACTTGTGGACAACTTCACGCTTCTAGCAGAAACTCTTAAAAACTCTAATATGTAGTTTTTATTACGTAAGACTTTATCGATACCTTTAAAATTTGTAGAACTGTTTGAAATCAATCTCGTAGATCTCAAACTATTTTAAATTGTCTACAGCAGTTACTCATGATCAGTCTGATCAGTTTGCTTGAAGAGCAAAATTATTTGTATATATTCGTATAGTAGTAGTTTCAGCTGAAGTCCACCTTCGGGTTTCTAAGCAGATCCGTCTTCTCAACAATTTTCAAATTTTTTTAGTTCAACAAATTTAACGTTGAATAGCTAAGAGAACCAAATAATCTAATTCTGTGAGAGTCATATTTCGTTATATCGAATAGTACTTCTACATACCATCCCACACAGAAAACTTTGAAGAATAAAACTGATTACAACTCCAATTATAGTTTAAAGTAATATAAATATTTTTCTGAGAACAAATGAGTTTATTATTCCTAAAAGTGAAGTGACATGTTTCATAAATATATACTTATTTTTCTAATTCGCCTCTTTAGATCAAAATTGCTCTTTAAGCAGCTTTGGAAAACAAAGTTATAATAGTAAATTTCTAACTTTTATATAGGGATAGATAACAACAAATTGAGGACTGAACAAATCCCTAAGACCCATTGATCTTGAAATTTTTAAACAAAAATGTCCAAAATATATACGAATCCTCTGTTTTTGTGTAAATCGTAAAATGAACTAAATTATTCCTACAGTAAATCCAGTATACCCGAATGCTATCTATAATCATCTATATACCAGTATCAACACCGATGCGTGCTACTTTCAGCACTATACTTTTATAGTTCAATTTTTCAAAAATCTCAAATTAAAGTCAACATCAGTGCTTCAAACACACTCAACATTTTCAATAAATCTGAATGATACATTTTTTTTTTTTTAATTTGTTTACTGAATAACAAAATAAATCAATTTTGTTCTGTGCATGTGGGCATGTTTAACTTTGTTTATGCTTTATTATGATTCAAATCTGGCAAAAGTAGTGATGGCTAAGAGTTCAATTGCTCTTTTTCGTTTGCTCAATTGCTGGGAAAACTGTGCAAATTATTTGAATGAGAAAATTTTTGTGATTTATTTATTCAACTAATGTTATCATTTTTAACCTCATTTATTATACAATTCTATCGCATTTTCTTTTCGTTCTATTTGCCTTACTTTATATCATTTTGTTTTTGAAATTTATTTTCTATAAATGTTAAATCATCTGTTTTGTTTGGAATATATTTTTACGTATTTGTACATACATACAAATGTTCAAAACATATAATTATGCATTTAATAAAAATAAGAATATGTGTGTTGTACAGAATAATTTATTCATCGTTAAAGAGAAATGCAGTCACACACAAATCGTTCATACGCTTTTGACAAATTTCACTGGGCACATTTCCATTCACATATAAACTTTGCACTAACGCCATTGTTTGCTTAAAACTTTATATCCGAAATTAAAGTTTTTTCTTAAATAACGATAATTGAAATCGAATTATTTAGTTTAGAGCACAAAATCTGTGCATCAAGATCTTTGGAATTTGTTTGTCCTCTCCAAAGATTTCTACGATTTAAAATTAAGTTTGACCCTGATTAAAAAAACAATATATTTACATATTCACATATGTAAACCAATGGTGAATATTGCTCCTTCAACATAGACTCATTCTGAGCCATTACAAGCATGCCAACGATTAATCCCTTGTTACACCACATAACACTCGACTGGTCTTTATTGCCTTAAGAGAATGTCTTTTAATGACTAATGGCGTGTTCGCCAAGGCAGACGCCTTTCAAGGATATTTTTGTTGAACATGCAACGTTCTTTGAAAGCACATTTTCCTCCCGAAAGCTTTCAACAGATGTTAAGATTAATCAACCAATATTAGAACCACCTGCCGCGCTATACCTAAGCTGCGGTCACTAAAACTAACCTGACCTTACCAAAAAATTTCAGTTAGATTAAAAAAATATCCTAAGGCAACCAAATCAACAGTTCCAAGTTTCTATTTTCAGTTGTTTATACCTCATCTGAACTATCAAACTTAAAAAAAAAAAGTTTTGTTATAAAAGCTAGTTTGATTATATTGCTAGTCACTCTGTGAAAATATATTTCTAAAACTTCCATGCTACCCAAAAACATCTTAATATTTTCCAATAACAAATCGCTCACCAATTAGCTCACCCAAAATTTCATATTAATTTATAGAAATATTCAAGATTATAAAGTTTGCATGTGCCATAATATCATAAAATAGTATAAAAATTTATTAAAAAATAAATTTAAAGTTAATATAAACTTGAAAGCACTCTTTATCATATATTGAAAAATTACGCTACAATAAAACATAACCAGACATTTTACATATAAGCATTTAACATATCAATCTATGCTCTGAACTAGTTGTAACACAACTGATCTCTCGCTCTGTCGGTCATCCACGCTCACCCTCTCTATCTCTCTCTCTCTCTCTCTCTCTCACTCCACCACTTCAACTATTACAATAAGTAGTTTTACGTCACTTTCAACGCGTTCCGCTCATAAATCGTCACTGTATATATGCTCTTCACACAATTTTTTTCGATACATTCACATAAAAATATATAACTTATCTATCCGATATTTCTATAATTTGATTTTGACTTTAACAATCGTTGTCAACAACTCTCTTAACCTTCTTCCAAATGCAAATAAAACAAAAAATCTCTCAACGTAGTATATTTCGTTATTTGTAACTAAATATGTTTTATTATTTTTTTCTTTATATGTTTAATGTATTCTTATAAATCATATATAATATAAATATATCGTTATCGATATCGATATTTTTTATACTTATTTACATATTCTGATAAACAAAACCAAAGCAGTTTAAGAAATTTTACTTTACATTTTTATATATTTGTATTTTCATTTTATTATCGTTCGTTCTCGTTCGTTACACATCGTACTTCATCACAATGCCAAATCAAAAAAAAATAATAATAATTAAATCAATTAAAATTAAAAAAAAATCAATTGAAATTAAAAACTACTCAAATTATCAACCGAAATCGAAAATGCAATCGAAATTGAAAATCGTATCGAATCGACTAAAATCGATATTTATCCCACGTTAATCAATCATATGTGAATGAATGAATGAATGGTCACGCAAAACGTATGAAAACGCAAATGCAAATCAACACTACGCAAAAAAAAATTTACAAAAATATGGCAAAATACAAAAACATATTTTGCAAATTAATCGATATTACTCATCGAAAACGTGGCAAACAAATTTTGAAAAAAAAATAAAAATATATCTATGCAAAATAAATCGAAACAACAGACCCGTCGGTGTTTGGGGTAAAATCGTGGGATCACTGTGTGCCATTGCTGGTGTCTTGACAATCGCTCTCCCGGTACCAGTTATCGTCAGTAATTTCAATTACTTCTATCACCGCGAAACGGATCAAGAGGAGATGCAGAGCCAAAACTTTAATCACGTTACTAGTTGTCCATATTTACCAGGTACATTAGGTAAGTACTTTTTGATCAAATGACATTTTATCGAACTATCGACATATCAACTTATGTATGTATGTATACGGGCGTTCACACTAATTCGACACACCACTACATAATTCGTTACATTTTCACAAAATTTAGAATTATTTGGTAGGTTTTTTAGAATTTCTAAGTTATAATTTCAAAATTAGAGTTTTCTTTAATTAACGTGTTATTGAAATTAAGAAAAGTGAGCTCTGCGTAAACTCAGAGTATGCCCGGTGATATTTAACATCCACTGAGATTTCATTTTTCATACTTTAATTACAAAATGTATTATTATTTTGTATAAAATATGCGAAAGTAACCTCATATATAAAGACCTGTATTTCAACATAAGACCAAAATTGTATAATTCCAGGAGTTTTCTGTATTTTTATTACTTACGCCTACGTTTTCTATTTATTTTCGTATTGTAAGTCATTCACGTTTTTCTCCAAAAATCTGAAATAAAGACCAAAAGTATTTTTCGGCGATTTTAGAACTTTCTAATGAAGGAACACTGAATACTGTGAAACCAATTTGTAGATAATTTCTCCATCCCGATTTCCCAAAACCATTAAGAAATTAAACTCCTATAAAACACTAGTTCTGTTTTAGGTTCATTAATATTTTAAGAACTAATGAAATCTTCAATGTTGTCATATATACTTTTTTGGGGTCAATGGTCAACAAACTAATATTTACAGTTTATAAAGGATGATCCATTTTGACTTTTCCCACTTTCTTAAAGAAACAACATTGAACTTCAAATTTAATGGGGAATGTTAATTGTCATTCGAAAGAACATTCTTTCGCAGTTATTTTTTGAAGATTATTATTTTTAAATGTTGGCCGCGGCTATGTCTCAGATGGTCCATCCGTTGAGTAAAATTCGTTCGATGACTCGTTCGAACATGTTAACTGGCGAATGGCACGAGTGATGTTTTGCTCCAAGGTCTGAATCGAAGCGCGATTATCCGCATGGACCTTAGACTTTACATATCCCCATCGAAAAAACTATAACGGTGTGATATCACACGATCTTTTAGGCCAATCGACCGGCCCGAAATGTGTAATTATCTGCTCACCGAAGGGTTGGTAGTACAAGAGGGATTTTTTTTTATGAAAAGTTGTTAAAAATAGGAAAATCTTACCACAGCGACACCTAGCGGTGATTTATCCAGTCAAAAAATAAATTTTTCTTCGCACCGCAGCCCCAATATTTTCCCGGGTTTTAAATACAAACTTGAAATGTTCACTTAAGAAGAATCAGAGCAATTTTAGACACTTGTTGTGGGAAGTATAAGCTTTCAATTATTTCGAATTTCACAAAATAAATGGAATAATGTTCTTCTGTGTAATTTTAAACAGATAGGAAAAAAATCCATTATTTTTGCATTAAATTAAATTGTGTATTCAGCATAGTTAGAATGATGGTTAGATCTGGCGATTGGTAAAAAAAAACTGAACAGTCGAACTTCCAAAGCTTTACTTGAGGCAAATTTTTCACCGGCCGAATCATTCGTCATAGACAGGAATAGACAGTAATCGTTTTTAAGCAGACTCAAACTATAAGGTGGGTGCATAAAAATCGATGTGTAAGGACTAGGATTGTTCTGACGGAATACAATTCAAACTGTTCAATTGTTGATAGTATAGATGCGACTTACGACTTTGGCTGTAGGGGAGTAGTTCCAGTAGATGATTGCTTATGAGTTTCAAATAACAAACCCTCCCGGACAGTCAAGCTTTATTTGGCTATCGTTTGAGCCAGTTTGTCGCTAATCGTCTGCTACCGTTTTCATTTCAAATAAGGTAATTTTTGTTGCGAGGCTCCGACAAGTTGTTTCCTACGAAATCTTATCTTTCAAACGAAATACATAGGGAAGGTTCTTATACAACACAACATACAGTTTACCATATATTGGAAATCCGTTTCTCTTTACTAGATCTTATAATAATCACCCTATTTCGATCCGAAAAAATCTACGCTTCAGCCAAATTCCGCACGGGTTTTACCGAAGGTTCATATTGTTGATTCTAATACTGGTCACTATAGGCCATAATTCACTCAAAACTTAATCTTTCTTGGCTAGCCAGACAGAAAAAAATAAATGGGTAAATTTTGGCTAATTCGATGCCAAATTAACTGATGAAAGGTGCATAGAAGAAACTGATTAGTGTCAATTCACCTTAGAAATAATATGATATTGAGCTCTCATTTTATTTTAAAGTTCTTGTTATGATTTTGAGTTCTCCATTACTTTCATAAAAAATTATGTTAAGATTCTGCACCATCACATTTTATGAAGCATTTTTCATACAACACATTCATCAACAATTACATATATGCATATATACAAGCGGCTAGTTGAGAAAGTTCTCTGAGGTGTTTTTTGCGATGCTTTTGCAAAATTTTCTGGTTAATTTTCAACATATTTCCTTCTTCTCTCTCTTAACAACCACTTGTCTTGCCTAACAACCTTTCATCCACTCCACTCACCGTTGCAATATCCTTTCCACCAACCCAAACATACGCCACTCACACTCCTCACCTAAACGCTACCATGAAATTTCCCCTTTCCCACACTTCCTTGGTTACATTTCCCATCCACTAAAATCCTCCTTAATCGTACATTCACAAGTAGGTCAACATTTAAAGAAATCATCGTTATCTGAATCCTCATCGGATATGATGGATTTGGATGATGGTGTTGAATCAACGCCAGGATTGAGTGAAATGCATCCTGGTCGTGCGGTGGCTCCATTTTTAGGAGCACAACAACAATTGATAGAAAAGCAGCAACAGCAGCAGCAGCAGTTACAACAACAGCAAGCGTCCATGCAGCAGGCGTCGCCGCAGCAGTCGCAGCAGCAGCAGCAACAAACGCTACAACTGCAGCAGCAGCAACAAAATGGTTATAAGCAATCCGCAACTAGCGTCACTGGTGGCAATAACCTAACGTCTACAACAACAACGCTACGGCATAACAATGCCCTGGCCGTTAGTATCGAAACCGACGTTTGACTACTGGGTGAGTGCGATTAGCCAACCAAATACATAGAAACATACCAATGTGCTATCAATTGTGATATTAAGCAATTTTTTTTTTCTCCAGTTTTTGTTGGTTCGTTGTCAACTTGCAACCATTCCAATCTAATGTAACTGTGTATTTGTATACTTTCCTACCTATAACTGCATATTTTATTAATCTATGTTTTTCTGTATTACCGTATTGTTGTTGTAATAACGTAATTAGTTACATATGTATATACTTGTGTACAAGTAAATATGTTCGCGCGCATCTACCAACTTACAGTGCCTACCAATAATATTCCCACTAAAAATTACTAATTTCATTTACAAAAAAATTGGGATTCTTTGGGTATATATTCAGAGGGTATATATTTTAATTTTTAGTATTTTTGATAGAATTTTTCCCGTTACAAAATACATCTCTACTTGGGTTAATATTTAAAAAAAAAAAATACTTAAATCGTCAAAATATACTGTGTTTTGTAGCTACTTTAAAGCTTTTAAACTGTTTATAATTTTTACCCAATTAATTAATTTAGGCAGTGCTTCAGATCTTAAAACAAAAAAAACACATAAAAATATTAATATATATATATATAGAGCAGCAAACTGGCCAAATCAAAACTTATTATTGTCGTCTTGGATACGCCACTTCTTTTCTCGCCATTATGTCGTTACAAATTTGTATATGAAGGCATCAAAAAAGTTATTTAATTGATTTCAGAGTGTGTAATAACGTCATTAATATAATATCACCGCTTACTATTTGATTATGTCAGTCTACTACTTCTCTTTTTGATTATATCAGTCTACTGAATTTATACCAGTTTGTTCGTTTCGTCCTTATACAATTTCTGACAGACATCCTTTAATTAGAGCATAAAGAATGACATTTTCTAACGCAAACTAGTATTCACGCTCTTTATAATAATATTTTAACGCTTTTTCTGATTTCGGATTGTTATTTGACGACAACGTTCTTAGGATATAAATTCTAATTCTATTAATGATTCTTCACATATCTCCAGACCGTCTCTCTAAAACCTATTTACATTGAGACAAATTTATATTCAATATCCCCAATCTTCCTGATTTAGGCCATTACTTTTGATATCCCCACCATTCGAAACCACTTTTCAGTAAGTGGAACTGGATTGAAATTCGAGATCGCACTTCTGAAGAGTCTAGTTATAATTAATTTTCTTTTTATAAAATATGGTTTGGAAGACTTCAAAAATTAACCCATTTCTGCCCGATGAGTATTTAAATACCCACGCAACAGTGTGCACGCGAAGAATCATATCTCGCAAGTCTTCAGATATATTGTGACTTTATTTTTTTTTCTAAATCAAAGATGAAATATAAATTAATATACTCTCCTTATAAGACAGGACAAAATTTCGATTAATAAGTGCCCATTTTCAAGGTCAAGTTGAGACATTTGAAAAACCAGAAAATGATTCACAATTTCAACACCCGCACCATTTTGCAATTGCAGTTTCACTTGCATCTACTTCGTAACACAGTTTATTTTCATCGATACGTGACGAACAGTCGATCAACAGGTTGTCACACACAAGTTTATTACTATACATTTCAGGTGCACTTATAATCCTTATTAGCCCATTGGGTATTTTATAACGCATCGCATATCTCAGTTATACAGAAAGTTACAAACCTCAAATTGCGCAGAGCGACTTCTATGATCTGGGTTAAATATTCTTCCATCATTATATATTAAATGTCTTTGAAATAAACTGTGGATGGTATTCTTCCAAGTTACTGCTCGGATTCTCCACACAAAATTTATAAAGTTTGTCAATCCCCTAGAAGTTAGCCGAACAAGGTAGTAAGCTGAAAATGATCCATTTTCAGAAGTTTTGTATATCACAATAGACAATCGTTCACAGCTGTCTAAATTAGATCCTGCACTACCTTTAATTCGAGAATCAACGTCCTAAGCTAAACTAACCTAACTTATCTCCACGAATGAATCATTTAAATTGCTTAATTCAAGACAGCTCAAATAAACACTTTGGCGTTCCGCAAAGTCCGTAGTGAGTAGTCAAGCTAATGGTACTGATATCGTTAACACATGATCTTTAATAGGTGCTTTCAAGTCAAATAACGATCATTGCTTGTCAAGATCTAAATACGAAATCATTACGGTCCTCCGTACTTTTATAATATGTTTGTATCCCATAACCTAGTATTAAGGTACTTAAATTCTAAAAGAATATGTCCTTATCAAATTTTAATTAGTGAGTATTCCAAAAGCTTCTCCTATTTTCTCATTGGCTTAACATAAGTTCGTTATATAGCTTAGTATTATTAGCTTCATCTTCTTTATTGACGTAGATAGCGCTTACGCGATTAAAGCTGAAGCATTTCCGATATTTATGTATATTTTGAGTTGAACACCAATGTGGCATTATAGTTTTTAATGGTCGATATACAGTTTTAAAGATTTTTGATGGTCATATGCTCGATTGTACCATATCAATTGAAAATGTTTAGCCAAAACACCTACCTTAAGAGCTATTACTGAAATTACTCATACGCCCCGTGAAACTCATAAGCCCTATGTTTAAAAAAGCGATGAACAATCACACGTCAACGAAAGTTTCATTTAGATATGTTCATTCGGCATTAAGATTAACTATTACATGTGCAGTAATATCTGGTACCACTATCTGGTAATACTATTGGTTAGTTAACCATTACTTAACCGATAAATGGATTACAGTAAAAAAATGTTGGCACATTCGAGTCGACATTTCAAAAAAAAAAATATTTTTTTTTTATTATGATCTTTCATGCACTTGCCTTAACTTACCGTTGTATGATTTATTTGCACGCTGTCACTTTCGTAAAGCTTTTTAGAATTTTTGGTATATCTTGGCTGTGCAATTTCGCAAATCCTAATTTATTTTCAGTTCTAGCAATACATTTTTTGAAATACAAAATTTTATGGTCTTTAAATATGTATGGAAAAAAAAATATTGAAAATCTTTAATTAAATTATGCCAATGATCTGTTTTGTCACAATGCATGCTTCAGCTGCTTTTGAATTAAACGAAACCATTTGTTCTCTTCCAATTTGCCATTTCTCCTCTTTTGCCGCAAACTCAGTAAAAAAGACGATACGTGCTCTAATTTGGCCTTGTGAAATGTTACGTTGGATGCCAGAAACGACTACAAAAGCTGTTTAATTAAATTTAAGTAGACAAATAATTAAATTAATTCAAATTGAAACTAAACAAACCAAAAAAAAAAACATTTAAGCAAGCAAAAAATAATAATTAAAATAACAAAAATATTTAACTTACACAAACAGAATCAAGAAATATGGAAAGGAAATATCCAAACCAAAGCAAACAAAAGAACTTAACCAAAACCAAAGCAAAAAATCCAAAAACAGAAAACTGCAAAAAACATCGAAAATTTCAGAAAATTGTAAACACAAAGATTCATACACACATAACTACACACCCATACACAAGCAAAGAAGCCAACAAAGTTAAATAGAGACATGCAGAAATCTAAGCAGAAGCAGTTACTAGCGGTTAGTTAATTGCAACTTCATACAACGTCGTGCAAATCAGGCACCAATTTCAAATGGGGACGAGTGTAAATAATAGATTGTTTGGTAGCGACAACAAAAGCAAATAACGGCAGTGAAGGGGGCGGAATAATTAAGATTTGTTGCAAAAATGTGTATAGTATGTATATGTATAGACACGGAAAAGACTGCTAAAGCAAGCATATGCATTACGTAAGAAAGTAGCGCAGATTTAAAGAAGAAACACTCTCAAAAACACACACAAAACATATTTTTAATACTTTTTTCTTTTAAATTACACTTTGCAGACTCTCTTGAAATGGTATTGCCTCTTTATAGATGCTTGAAAATGAAGAAATTAATTTTAGAAAACACTTTCTTGCAATTTGCGCTTCGCGATGTGCAAAACAATAATCTTTAATTGAGTGCCTGGCACTGGAAGATATACTTAAAGCGTATATTATTTTTGGAAATTTTTAATTAT